AGTGAAAAGTATTCCAAGCATTCTGTCTCTTCGCCTTATACCAGCTCCGCTCGAAACGAGGACCTTTCTGGGCATTCCCAAGGATTTTCCACTTTCTAAGCAACTGAGTTAATTACCGAGAACTTATTAGTGTTTGGGCCCTGCTAACCACCATTTTTGGTCGCAGAACGTGCAACTAACCGATTCTTAGCACCGAGACGGCACAGTCCACCGCGGCACCTCCGCTGTTCAAGTCATAAGGGGCCTACTCACAAACAGCAATAAAGGCCTCATCAGATCTACGTTTCCTTTCATGATCCTTCTTCCCGATTCTCGACTTGATTAGGCAATCATGGGGCAGTTTCACCTCCTGAACACGGATGGCACATCCGACTGAGGTCTGCAAAATGTATTTTTTTCCGTATTCGTGTCCACCGCGTGTAGCACTTGCGCTACGAATTTCTGCGTCAATCAAATGCGATGTTTGTACCTGAGAGGTAAGGGACCTTTATGGGCCATTTTTGCAGAAAATGGCCGAAATTCCAAACAACAGGGTCCTCAGATGAGTAGTTCTCATGAGTTTCACTTGAGTGGCCCTGTCGGTCAGGAAAAAGGGCAGAACCTGCTTGCAACTAAATTTTTGGCGTCATCACTTGATGCTCACTAAGAATCGAATGAGACTAGGTAGAAGTCCAATGAACCCATAGTTTTCTTCCCACTCGTTCTCACTCACAGAATCAAATGGTCATCAAAAACCCTATGGACCTGGAGGTCTTCTGAAAACTGAAAGCTCCTAGTGTGAGAAAAAGTGGGCCACTCATCAAAAACTAGAACAAATGGGCCTCTCATTAAAACAAATGTTAAGCTTTTATGGTGCAAGCTTGAAGCCTTAGAGAACTCGTTGCTTTACACTCTACACCCGAAAAAAGAGAAAGCTGCTAAAATTAAAGGAAATATCAAGCCATTCTTCACCATATGCTCACAGGCGATCCCCTCATCGCCTTACCAAGCGCGCTTCCGGTGTTTCATACAGGCCTAATGAGGCGAGAAGAATTTTGATGGAATAGAGCCTCACAGAGAAATGGCGGCTCACCAACATGCATTACATCCACTTCCTCTAATTGAGGGAGGACTTATAGGTAGCGCAGTCGCCAGGTATGCGTGAGGTGTAAGTTCAGCCCCCGGCTGTGGCTAAGACTTTTGCTGCAACTCAGCATTGTTGTGATATTTCTTATCAGTATTCGGGACAAACGGCAAACAGCCCTTTCCTGGTCAAATTCCAAGGGAATAGTGTCGTTCAGCGAAGCTGGCATGAAAAGGGTGTGTACCCAGCTTTTCATGAGAAAATTTCAAAGTCAGTGATAGACTTCAAAACTCAACAAAACTTAAATGCTGTGTTCCGAAGATCAGTTCAATGATATGAAGGCCCAGGACGTGATTGTTCAGAAATTCGTCAATGACCCCTCATTACAGAAATTGGGTACTTTTACAAAACAAATAAAACCATATAGGTGGGCAAGACAACTCAAGAGCATACTCGAAGGAACCCAATGAAACTGAAGAAATGGCCAAATGATGACAAATACTATTCCAGTCAAATTGTCTTCTCTGAATGTTCGAGCAGACACTCTTTTTTGTCTTTTTCGTCTCGTCTTTTTTCCTTGGCAAGAACCATAAAGTTGATGATACCTGAGCCCAGCAAGTTCTCGCTATCGGCTCCGTTCGGCGACGGGGGTGGGGTGCATTTTGCATTTTCTGCTCCACTAATTCTGGTTCACAAGACTCTGGTGAAACCTGTGAACTCTTGTGAGCTCATGAAATAGTTCTCTAGATGGCTGGACAAGTCGATGGGAACTAGCAAAAGTGCAGACTGCCCCCCCCGTCGCTAAACTGCGCCTTGCAATCTTTTAAAGGCTCTTAAGGACCATTCTCAAAATAGTGAGAGCCGAAAAACTTTATTGCAAACCGGTGAGCTATTGTTTTGGGCCGATCCCAAGCTTCACCAGTATTTTATTTCATGTGTAAGGTTACTTTGAGCGAAATGTGAAACAAGTACAGGGGGTGGTGTGGGTTTAAAGAAGCCACTCCCACCAAGAGCTTGTTTGTGAGAGATACCGACAGCGCGAAGGCTGTCGGCTGGTTTCATGGCGGCTTCAACAAGCTTCGATCACTCTAATCACTGAGACTTAACACATGCGCAACAACGGCTTATTCGCTAGTCCGAATTGATTGATATTATAGAGAAATTTACTGAAACTGGATACTGCTGAACCTGAATAAAGCCCCAACTAGCACGTCACGTTGTTTAATGAGCAGGACTTGAATATGGGTCATATTAGACATCTATGGCGTAAAATCAGCTTCCTGAGGATGCACTGCAGTGAGCATGGACAACTTCTGCGAGAGATTCCTGAGCGATTCTGTCACACTTGGAGACAGGATCCCTCGGGAATCCGAATATGAAGCCATGAATTGGGCATTCATTCAAATAGCAGCGGCATTTTAACAAGAGCCTGGCCATTATACGACTTGAGCGGGCCATTTCGCATGTACTGGTATATTCTTCTGGCTTTCTGAACGGGCGCATCGGCATTCCAACGACTACGGACGTTAGAGCCAGCCTGAACCCCCCCCGCCTCTCTCGAAAAATTTAACTGCTGGAGGAAGTCTTTCATCAAAAGCAACTTGCACTTCAGCGGATAGGGAACTAACAGTAGCACCTACCCCCTGACTCAACCTCTAGAATCTTCTCCCTTACAAAGCGCTCCTAATAGCGGCATATTTTTTGGCCAATTTTTTTAGGGTGGCACTTTGAAAGTGCTAGACCGTTAAAGAGTACTGATTTCATAGCAGACCGAACCGAAATGAGCAGACGAACACACTTAGACGACTCCTGAAGAATGATATGGCAGAATCCAGCTCTGAGCTGTTGTATTGGAACCCATGAAGAGTCGCCCCCTCGGCTCATCACTCCATCTAATTTGAAAGTGCCAGCTGGCCAGGTGCTCTCAGCCTCGCCCTCTGAGTCTACGGTATCGTGACGCGTGTGCGATGCGCCGAAAGCAAACCTGGTGACGACCGCTTATATCCGTAATTGAAATGCCCGGCTCGCGTGTCGCTGCAATTCTATCTGACATCTACCGTATGCCTATGAGGTGGCAGAAGTGACGACAATGAAACGGGGCGATATCGTATTGCCAGTCTGGATGGGTTCGAAGTGGCCGGAGTGGGTAGTCCAAAATGGAATTGAACTCGGCAAGCTCTCTCAGACCATCTTGGAATGATGAGGTCGTTGTGTGCGTGAAGTATATACATGTTCTTAGTTACTAATACTTCGTGTACACATACATACACACAGATAGCGGGCTCTTATCCACTCGGTACACAGACATCGACAGCACGATACAACCACTGATTAGCCACTTCATCCGGTGATGGTACACCGTTCTAGCTTATGGCTTTTCTCCGGATCACGTGACTCTACCAGCTCCAGGAATGATCACTTAGGAAATATCTTGGGCACAGTTCGGCTCGTGGGGGGGGGGCATTTTGCACCGTTACTTTCCATCCTCGTGTTCATTGGTTTGCAATAGTTGACAAGTATTCTTCACAAAAGTTGAAAACTAATCTTACAGACTTTGACTGGTATCACTCATAGCTGCATGAGATTTTACAAATCCCAGCTTGATGTTTCGATACGAAAAGGGGATGTAGTGGAAGCGGAAAATGCCCCCCCTGAGCCTAACTGTGCCTAACTCTTTATGCACTTTAAGGTAGCAGGTGGCAGCCTTGTCATTAGCCAAGTACTGTTTGTCTAGTGTGAAGAGGAGGGACAAGCGATGCAGTCGGTACTGCGGTGGACACCACTGCAGTGTCGAAATGCTATTGAACCATAAAATTCAGCCGTATATCGAAATTGGCTAGGCCATCTAAAAATGTAGGCGATGGGCAGAAATTGCATACTAACTTGGAAGAGCAGTGCTTTTCCAGTGCTACCGGGGCATCACCAACAGCCCCCAGGGTCTTCAGGATATCCAAGTTGTACCTTAACTTCTGAACATGACACGTCTTACGATTGGGATCGCCAGCGAATGAGGTCGTGTCTGGTCGCTGGCAGGAGGGAGGGGGTCGCTTTTCTCGGTTTCACCTGTATGGGGCAAGCTATATATTCTCCCTTCTTTTTCAACGGGTTGGGTGGCAGTTTTTTCAAGGGAGTTAGTAGAAAGCTAGGGTAATCCAGGAAGATGGAAGCGGTGGGATTGGTTGCGGGGGTGGCCCTAGAGGAGAAGATCCGAAGGAGTTTGTACTTTGCGAAAATTCTCCCTAACGGCAAGACCTGCTCTGTTCCCATGCACACACTGGAGCTAACCCTAAACACTGAAGCCTGCTCCTTCCTTTGCGAGGACCAAGACTTAGACTTAGCTCCAGCTCTATAGCGGACGTCGGATTAAGATTCAGAAGTTTGTTCGGGATCGTCCTAGTGATGATGAGGCTCTGAACAGCTCCCACTAACCCTCACCCTGGGAGGTCCCACTACCCCTCACCCCAAGTTATGGCATGTTCGTTGACTGAAATCCTGCACCAAGCAAACTGGGAGAGCCCACTGGCCCAATCTCAAGCTGGCAGAAGATGCTCAATGAATCGCAGAGACAAATTTGGACCCTCGGATCCTCCATGTCTGATTAGTTTGTAGCTAATCAATTGCAATTTATTTTCAATTCAACAAAACAAAATTGTTTGGCATACAATGTTGAATATAGCAGACGAGGAGGTGAACACGCCTCATCATACAATCTGTACATGGATCACAATCGTGCACAAAAGAACACGACATGTCCGCACTGAGCGAATAAGGTTCACTAACGAATCCTGCGACAACGGCGGCCATCGCGGACGCGTCGTGCTCTAGGAATTTGGTTTGACCTATTGTTAACCTGGCTGAATCACAACAACAAACACATAATTTACTACGGTCATGACCATCACAAGGCCATAACGGGGGAACGATCCGAGACTTTTGACTATACAACTAATTGCTCGGCTTCAGAATGTGAAACGGAAACCGCGGCTGGGGCAGCGGTGGTGATCGGTTCACGTTTCGCTTCTGGGGACGAGGATAATTCCTTATTTGAACTTGAAGATGAGGAAGATAGTGAATGTGGTGATGTGCAAGGTTTGGGTTCAGGTTTCAAATCAAGAATCTCGTCTATAGAGAGTTTGTTACGTTTGGGAGGCTGAAGCGGTGAGCTACTAACGGGGAGAGGTAAAGAAAATTGAGAGGCTAATTGCTGTTGCATTTGAAGAAATGCCGGATTGAACAGAAACAGGGGGTTCATCGTGAACGATGGGGGCTCCAGCAAGCGATCGGCTCCGAACGACGGTCGTAACGAGAGATCTTTCGGCTCGTCAATCGGCGACGGTGAGTCCGTCATGCTGTCGTCGAAGTCGTTCTCGTCTTCGCTGTCTGAGCCGTCCGAACCGCACGTTTTCTTCAGCTCAACTCCAATGACGTTTTGCCTGAAAATATGAATATTTAGGACAAAGGTAAAAAAGGGTTGAGTCTCTGCCGCTAAACTCTTTTTGGGATGCGCACCTCAAAAAGGAAAGCAGAACGGGGAGGGGGACATTCCACTTCCATTCAGAGTCGTAGTGGCTTATTGAATGCGATGTGGCCTATACAATGACTTGCGGGGGCCAGCCGATGTACAAGTCAGTGTTCTTATCCCTCCCAGACGAATCTGGCACCAATTAATCGTCCCCAGAGGGTAGAAGGCTTGGCTGATTTGGACGGGAGCCGACCCTCTATTTTGATCGTGCATCATGCGCATAGTAAGCCCGCCACCTCGGTTTCATTAAGGATTTTCACAGCAATGAGCAGTTAACGATTTTAAAAAGGCTTAGATAAGAACAGCTTATTCCTCTAGAATTCTTCTCACAAATCTCAAATCTCGTGCAGCCCTACGCGAGCTTTGGGCCAATAAGGACGCTGGAGGTACCTTTGAGCTAAGGAAAACGCTCCCAACCTCCAGGTGTCCCCTATACGCTCACTGGGCGATCATTCGGGGATAATAGATCAGGAAGCATCACTGCGCATGTGAAGTCCACTCGCTGCGGCTTTTTCTGGTTGAATAGCTCCCTAATCAGCCATTAATCGCGGAAATTCTAGAGTGGTGGGCATTCCTGTTCTGTGGGAGCTCTGTTACATTATAATTACAGATCGATCAAGTTTCCCAAGAAGTGCAGCTCATTCTTGCCCAGGGTACCCAGGATCCCCAAGTAGAACCACTGTAGGCTTTCTGGGGCCAATATCAGTGGGCGCTAAAGGTGTCGCGGACGAGGCGGTATGCGTCACCACTATTTCGTTTTCATGCGTGTTTCAATAACAAATTTTGCGATTCATAGCTTCGATAGGCTTCGCTATTCGCTTGCACGAGCCGTGTTTTGTCTACAATGACATGGACATTTCTGACTTCTTCCACAAGGCCCCCTCAAGACCATACGCCCACACCAATCGACCTCAAATGGAAATCGAAAGGCTATGAGGAGCGAAACGACGAGTATCATTGCATCAGAACTCGCCACAACTAGCGCTAAGACGAAAATAATAGGGTGGTTGTGCGATGAGAAAGAAGACCATCGAGATGCCAACGCAACTAATGCTACAAAGTCAAGGACACCCTCCCTTCCGCTCCAACAGGGTTGATCGTTTTGTGGCGGTGGGGCAGAGAGAAAGGCATGTGTAGAGTGTAAGGAAACGAACAAACTCGTTGATGAGAGGTTTTCGTCGTTGGAGTTGTGGCCATGTTTTTTGGAGGGGAGAAAGACCCTCATTCTGTTACCAAACCACTAATGGAAATCGCTTTGATGTCTAAAGAGACAACACACTCACTTGTTTTTCGCCGCCGCTGCTCGATCTCTCTGTCGTCGATTTTTGAACCAATTGCCGACTTGCATCGCTGTCAGACCGGTTGCATTTGCTAACTCTTTTTTCTTACTCGGATTTGGGTACGGATCTTTCAGGTACCATTCTCGCAACAGCGACCGGGTTCGTTCCTGAAGTATGATGCTCAAACCCTGTAAACAAAAACCAAGTAGAAATCCACAAACCTTGAAGCAGTGGGTCTTCTGCTCTCCATCCCAGATCGTTCTTGGCATGGGGTACTTCTTACGGACACGGTATTTATCAACAGGTCCCAGCGGTCTACAAAAGCTCAATGAGATAGGATATTTTTGACCCGTGTTCATATTTGTACTGGCCGATTGCCATATGTTTCTTGACTTGCAGCCTTAACGCAAATTAGTAGAATCTACTAATTACAAGGTAACCACAACGCCGGCTAGCAGACGGCGTGCTACATCCCTCTTTGTACCCGGTAATTACCGCATATTAACCAAGCGACATGTCTCCAGGAAGAAACAGTCATGTATCGCCTTCGATAGGGCCTATGAAGGCGTAAATACATGTATCTGGGCAACAGGTCTATAAGGGCTAAACGCTCGTGTTTGAAAGAAATTTGGGGGGGGGACAGTGTTGCAAAGGGGGGGGGGTGCACTTTCGCTGCTTGACTAGCACAGGTTTACAAGTCTCACTCTGGTGAAACATGTGAACTCCTGTGAAGCTGGAGCAGAGCCCCATGATAAAACCTATCAGCTCTTGTAATGCAATGTACACCTCAATGGGAAGCAGCAATAGGGCAAAATGCCCCCCCCCTCCCTCCTCGTCGCCGATCTGCGCTGAAATTTGTTTGAAACCTACCTTCCACGTTGTTTCTCGGCCTCACGGTAGTGGGCCTCTTGCCACATGTATTGCAACTTTTGATGACTTCCTTGGGTGAATTTGTGATTTTCGAGAATACTGTAGAGTTGCCGAAAATCTCCCATATGGAAGCAGACCAGGGCTCGTGCTTTGAGCACCACCTCGTTGGACACTACCTGAAAACCTGATTGTTAAGCAAGGTTATAGGTAAGACTAGCAAGATTCGAACGCTTACCTCTTGAGCAAGAGTCGGCGGTAAGCTGTAGAGAAATCGAGCCAGACGATCGACATCATCGGCTTTTTCCAGCTGATCACAGGTTTGAATAATCTGCAAAAGGAGGGGTATAAGCCTGACGAGTATAACTTTCGGATCGCATTAGTCTCGAGAAGAGGCTATCATAACATCTCTCATGCTGCGTTTATTAGTGTTGTTATGCGATCAGTTAGGCGCAAGTAGCTGGCCGTATCGAGCCTTGGAAAGGAAACACCCAGCCAGAGGCCATATCTCGAAGTGAAAAGCCAAGACAAGTTTTGCAAAAGGTGAAGCTGACGTGCGAAATCTTCCGAGAACGGAATGTCATGAGATTACGAGGAAAGAAGTTCGATTTTGAAAGGAAACGGCAGCGGTGCGTGTGTCGTCGATTTCCGCTATCACTGAACAAGAGCATCTCATGCTTTAACGACGTCGTCGGCTCACAAAGAGCTCCCGTGTAAATTTCATTTAAACCGTCGGGTTGGAGAAAGCTTGTCGCGCTTCGTTGTTGGATATGAAAGCCATCTGCCCTCTAGCTGAGCACAAATGTTCGCATAAAACCCTCAAGGACAACGCTTTCTGCTACTTCCAAAGCCAAATTGCTCTGACCTACTATTCAGTCCTTTGTTGCTCAGCAAATAATGTAACTGAGAGTTGGAGCGCTTGAAATGGAGCCGAGCCACCCAAACAGCTTTCACAAACGGCCAAATTGAGATCAATTTCAGGAAAAGTTGCACATTTTGGCCCAAGAAGTCGATAGTAGGCACAGTTCTGGTGACAATAGAGGAAAGAGAATTGGCATTTTGATACTGCGATGTATTGAGTGGTATGGGAAGAGTTGAATAGTGTGGCGACGATGATGGTTATGGTCGCAAAAGGTTGCGCAAGTTGAATCAGAAAGAAACGGCATTCGATTACTAAAAGCACGATCCGAGCGGAAGTGAATCAGATGGCTGATATGGGCATCCGTTTGGATTGTGTGAATGAATGAATGATTGAATGAATGATTGATGAACAAACGAATCATCCAATATGACCAACAACAGTCCCGTAGTAAAGCCCGTAAAATGAAGAAATATAAAGGAAAAAGAAAGAAATTCAAAAACGACACTCACTTGTTCAGCTGTCAAATTGGATGTGGTAGGCGATCCGGGATTAACAACCGGAATTGTGGCGGTGGGAATTGGTGGGAATAGACCAGGTGGTGGTCCTGCTCCGGGTGGAGCCGCAATGTTGGCAGCTTGTAAGGCTTGTAGAGCACCAAGATTGGCGCCCATACCTTGTAGTGCCAATTGCATCCATACTTTCTGTAGTTGCTCCGGTGTGAACATCTCCACATGAACAACCGTACCAACAATGATCCGCCAGCTTGCTTAATGATATGGGCGGCACGCGCGTGCGTGATTGGTCGCCTGGGCCCCGACCACACCCACCGCCGTCATGAGAATAGGGGGGAGAGCGAGCGCACGATGCCGAGCGAGAATGATGATGATGATAGTCTATGATGCACCTGAGCATGAGCAGCACAGGAGGATGTTAGTGGTGCAGGAGCGATAAGCGAGGTGAGCATGAGCCGGAAATCCGACGGATATTTCCGGTCGTCACCCTCGATACCACCTACTTATCCACTTACATTCAATCTCATGTAGTCCTTAGGAAGTTATCGCTGAAACTTCCGGAGGAAAGCGCGGTTAACGGGGCGACAGGGGAACGCTGTGAAAGCACCTTATAAGTGAAGGTTGTAAAGCCGAGATTTCACATGCACAAGTGCAAATCGCCAGCTTTGCGAGTGTTGTTGGCCTTTTTCTTCCATTTTGTTTTGGGCGACGACTCTGCCACTCCACGTATGACGCAGCACGGCTGCTACACTCCATCTCCTACAACACCCAAACCCTGCGCCAATTCGAGATTTTCTTTGTGCAATGAAACATGCCTTGGGTTGTCGATGAGAGGTAAGCGCCAAGGAAAACCTGTCCGGTTGCGATCATTCATTGGACATAAGTAGTCGAGAGTGTTTTTCACTTTTCGCCATCTATTCTCTACAGTCGCATCAACAAGTTAAGAGAGTGGGGTATCGGCGCGCCATGGTCGTCGCTCTCCTCAGGACCATTTAATTGAGTTGATACGGTAACTGTATTTCTTGATGAGTATGACTCCAGCTCATAGTGCTAACGATGCGTTGAACGTTGAGGGCTTAACACGGCGCGCGGTGTAGATCAGATAAGAGATAGGGGAGGAAATGTACGTCAAGGGCTATAGTGAGTCGTGTTCGCACCTAATGTCACCCACGGAGAGTAATGCACGCGGAATCAGGGGGCCGGTACCGCCGGGCTCGTCATTACGTTACATCATTGTTTCCGGGAGATGTCGTGGTGGTGGTGCTATCTCCCGTTTTCACATCCTCCAGTTACAATCCGTTATCAACTCCAACACAATCGCCCGATTTCCCCACGGAGCGCAAATTGCCATCAAGGAGAATTTGTCTTCTTGTGTCGTGCTAATGGCCTGTAATGTGACGGCGCTCGCCTAACCATCTACTTCTCTTCGTCTGGCCTTCTTCTCTACAACATCTTTCTCTCTTTCATATCACTAGCTTCTCATTGTGCTCTTTCATTGTCCAATAAGGGGTCTACAAGATGCCCTCGAAGGGATTCTGACAAAGGGGAACCATTCTCCCGGCCAAATACGATGGCATAAAAGTAGCATTACCAGTTTTTTGGTGTGAAAAAGTTTTGTATGAGAAGCATGTAGCGATTGTTGGCATTAAGCCAATCGGCAGCAGTCGCTTATTCTGACAATGTTTGCACTACTGGCACTCGATGTAATCCGCACAACGATTAGACGATGGGGCAATTAGGATAGTGTCAAGCGGGTTGCGTAACCGGCGTCAGCGAATCCACCCCACAGATGCGCGCCATCGACACGACCAACCGTTAAATACCCAAGTATTACCGGCATCATTAATTGACATCTATTCGTCACGGGAATCAAATTCTCCATTCAGGACATCACGGAGAATCAACGCGTCCCCGGTCAATAGGTGTGGCTGACCCAAGTTCATTGAAGAGGAGCGATAACTAATGGATTAGGCCGACTGGCGCGATGACGCAAAACTGAGATCCGATCAGATGGATTCGATGGATGGAGATTCCAGTTCACGGGTACGACTGATACGACACAGCACCAGTAATGGATTCCACACGGGACCTCATAACTCACCTGAGGCTAGGTTGACGTCTCAGGGGCAGTTCGGACGGGGGGGGGCATTTTGCACTTTGCTACTTCCCATCGACGTGTCGACCCATCTAGAGAGCCTATTTCGTGAGCTTACAAGAGTTGACAGGTTCTACCATGGTGCCTAGACGAGCTTGCTCCAGATTCACAAGAGTTCACAAGTTCCAGCAGAGTGAGACTTAAACCGGAACTAGTGAAGCAGCGAAAGTGCAAAATGCCCCCCCCCCTTCGCCGAACTGCACCAACGTTTCATACAGCAGCTCTATTCCACTCCATCTATTACATTCGATAATGGTGTCTTTTCAAAGGCAGCTCTCGAGGTCGAACGAGCAGAAAGGCAACTCAGTGTGTAATTGGACTAAATGCAGCTGCCCATGAGCGCGCATCAAAACACAGCCGCTCTTCAATTTTCGTCGTTAGGATCCTACAACGATCCGTTGTCTTACGGTAGATACAATATCTACTTAGGAGATGTGGTTGTTTGTTTATCGGATCTATTGGACCATTGCATGCTTCGTGGTTCTCGGCCGTCATGCATCGACCTCACATTTCATCTAATCCTAATGCTCGGTTTTCTGGTGGATAAGCGATTGCTGCTGCTGCTGATGTTACCGAGATTACGGTATGACGTCTTGTGCTTGGACCCGTATCACATTACAGTACACCGCCCTCGGACTCCGCCCATTGTACGAAAATATCGCGCGCGATTCGTGATGAAGGATTGCGCGTTTGCAAAGGATTTACGTGAGCGATCGCCCCAGATTCGGATCCTACGGCGATGATAGCGCCAAAGATGGCGCCGCAATCTCTGATGATGATAGGCATCAAATGTCTAAGCCGCAGTCAAGGACTGTGTGTGTGTAACTGCGCTGACGTTGTTCCGAACATTGACCATACAGTAATCCTGTTAGCGCGCAACGGTCGCCAATGATACGCAGCTTATGCGACTCAAACGAGCACACACTGCGCCGACGGGCTCTTGACTGATGAGATGAGAAAGAGAGCTTGAGCGAACAAGAGACGTCTACTCATCAGCGATACGATGCCCAAACAACCCCGCGCTCTCTATTACAACCAGCACAGGTATTCTTTCGCCTGAACGCACTCACAGTGAAGTGGTTCAGGGGTGGGCAAAAAGACGGTAGCTAAAGCGAAGTTTCCGCAGCCATCTAAAGGGTAAGGGGGCGTATCGATAACAGCAAGTACCGTAGTCAAGAATGGGCGTAATGGGGAACACTGCTTCGGATGTTTTGATAGGGCCGAAAAGAGTCGATCGCAACAAGCGCGCATTTGCTCGTTTCGATCTGCTTCGCCGACACTTCTTTGTTTGCGAGCATTCAACGGACTAATGTGAGAGGGAACCTGCACACTGGATTACTGATCCCATATGAAAGCACTTTCCCTCCTGAGGGAAGTGAGGGAAAGTGCTCTGATAGCCCTCACCCACTTTGACCCATTTCTATCCTTTGATCTGACAACTGAAGTCCACCTCGAAACCCACTTGGTCGAGAGAATAGAGCGCGAGCGCGAGTGTACGAATAGAAAGAGGCTGGTGTTAAGGTGGTCTCCAATTACGTGCGGTTTGCTCGATTAGCTGCACTTGGTCGCCATCTATTGTGTGTACGTCCTAGGTTACAGTATGTATGAGTGTAATTGCGTCCGAAACATGCTAAACGCCAGCGGGGGTTATTGAGACTGCACACTTAGGGTCTATTCACCACCGAGACCACCTGCCGAGTGAAACACCTTCATCGATACAGAGACCAACTTGGGAGAGCGTGACGCCGATAAGTGTAGTCGTTTCATGGCCATTAAGTCAAAAAGTCAGACTACGGGAACTACTACTATTGGAGAGAGAAAAGGTCAGGGCTTCCCAACTGGGGTTTTTGGCCAAATGTGGGATGGAACGCAATTGTGCCTGAATTTTCGCTGCTATGAAACATTTTGAAATTAATGTTCTCAAGAAACGCTCAAGAGTTCACGGAGCCCAGGAACCTGACCCGAAAAATAACAAACATCGCTGACAGCCAATATACATAACGTATGGGAATTTGAGCTGCCGAAGAGAACCCTTACAGCTCAGTTGCCCACAGAATTCAATTTTACCCATAGACCCTCTAGAGTTACCCATGGGCATTCTTTGATGGTTCCTTGTCGGGGATAGGAACTACGTCCCAATGCCCAAAGTCCCTGGTATTTCTCCTTTAGGTGCTACTTCAGCACAGGGACATGCTTGTTCTCATGAGGCGCCGCTGACATGGGAGGAGGAAGGAGCTTTAACTGAGGTTTACTCTTCAAGGTAAGTAAACCCTCCTTGTGTGAGTTCATTTTCACCTGTATTCTTGTTCCTGGGCTAGGCAGAAACATCCCCAGCCCTGTACGCCGTACGATCCAACCGAAAAACCACAGAAAAGGACTGGAGATGCCGCTGACTAGGCCGCGGTAAAACAGCGCTAGCACTGATGTACATGGAGCCAGACGTTACGTAACCCTTCCCAAGTTCGTGGCGCACCAACGTTCTTTTAAAACTACTATCTTCTGATATTTAGACACTAGTGCTGACGACCTTCCCTTCCCCACTATAATAGATTTTCGGAAAATTCCGTACAAGAAATGAACTTAGGATTGGAGAGTGCTAGGGGAGGAGCAAGGGAGTCGTATCAGAGGCTGGAATTAGGAAGGTCAAATTTCCCGAAAATTTTTCCCAGCGGCAGCAGGTGCCCTGACTGGATTGCGGACTTATATTGCCCTAGCGCTCAACCCTTGCGACAATTTTTTATAACTTCTGATAGGATTCTGCTGAATAACACTTGATACTTGGCTCGTGCCACCCTGGAAACCTGAGTGAACCCAGCCCAATCCGAGACTTCTCGGGGAGTGGAGAAGTTTTCACCTTTGCACCCAATGTATTGCCGACAAGCTACCCCACAATACACTCTTTGTAATCAAGCACTAGTGATATTTGTTGAGTGTTAAATTTCACCCGGGTCGCGTTTTCTTTGGACTTTGGTAGTCCTTTCACTGGGTGGAAAGTTACCCAGAGAAGCGGACTTTGAGATTAAGATTCCGCTAATCTGGAAACGCAAAGGTTTGTTCA